GGATTCTTAAGTCCTTGGGGTCCTCCCACTTATTGAACTAGTCTTTTGGGTTGGGCTCTTCCCTTGGGCTTGATTACCTAACACCTCTCAGTTGAAATAACGATAAGGGTTAGGGTTTAATATCTCAACCAATCTCCACAGTTGTATTTTTTGTTGATTTAACTGTTGCTGTAATTATTGTTAATTTTCATTAATTTGACTGATTAGAGGAACCCTGCAAAATTCATTTTGCTGTTATATAATTTAGTAGTTGAATTAAAATCCCTGTTTACCCTAACAATGCATTTTCCAAGCTCTGAATTTCAATTTTATAGATTTGAAATTCTTTGATTGGTTTGCATTTCTAATTTGAAGAAATTCGAGCTTTGCCTTACCCACAGAAGTTTTTTCAATTGGATGGAACTATGAGGCAAAGACAGAGTGTTGCTGTCTCACCAGCAGCAGAACCAGGCAAAACCGTAAACTCAGTTCCGTCGAAATTAGGTCCACAACAAAAAGAAGCCTCACAACTTGGCTTTCTAGGCTCCTCCAAGAATTTATAATTTACTTACCCTTTTAAATCAAGAATCTTTACCCCATGGTGGGTCTTGATACCCCATGGTTCATGGTAATGGCTTTTACAACATTAGACGTTTTATGTTATATATATTGTATGTAAGGAAGAACGGTTTCCTATGAACTGTATGTTAAGCTGAGTTGTGGAGCTAAAAGTTCATACTTGTTACTAGTTAAAAAATGACTATTGGAAACAACAACAACAAGGGGTCTGCTGTATGAATCCTAGAACACCACTACGCTCGGTGTTGCACCAAGTCTGGAAAGATGCGTCACTTGAGAAAATAATCTTATTCTGATTTTAAATATTCATTGTTGCTCATAGAAGCCATTATGAAATGCTATCATCGAGTGATTTAAAAAACTAAAATAAGATTTTTCATTTGCATTGGTATTTCTTCTAGTAAGGTTTTCCATGATTTCCTTCTGCTTAACTGCACCCTCAAATGGCACCACACTTCTGCTGCATAAAGTAATGTCTTTTGAAGTTCTTATGGTTATTTTTGTTCCATCTTTTGTAGGCCAAGGCTCCTCGGCTGTTTCAGTCCTTTTTTGCTGCATTTGGTGATTTATACTTGTATAAGCTCTCTGTCATCCTCTTTGGTGACTGCGTTGCTAAATGGGCTGTATCCTTTTGTAGGAGGGGTTCTTTACTTCTGTAATGATAATATTTCATGTCTAACACTATGTTTATTTTAAATAGTCAATTTCAATTACTATTACCGACTGAAAACACTATTGTAAACATCTGGCTCTTTCTGGTAAAGTATGTACTGAACTCAATTCCAGCTGTTTTCACAATTGACAAATTGGTTTATGTTTTACTGTATCACTCGTACATTTTCAAATAGTTTGGAGACTATTCTTACCCTTGTGAGCCTGTACTACTGGCCCTGTAAGGAAGTGGGGTTTGATTATTGCCGCATTAGCCTGTGCTATCAGACCAACGAGTTTCATCATATGGCTGTATGTTGTTCTTCTTGAGCTATTTTTGACATGTGATAAACTGAGATTCATTTTTCGGAAGTGGCTCCTATGGGGTAGGTATAGCCAATCTCCCTCGGAATACATTTCCACAGTGCTTAAAATTATTAGGAACTTTATCGTGAATTGTTTGTGCTTCTGAATTATATCATAGATAATGATATTTGTCCTGTTTGTTCTCTTTTATTTCGGCAGTGGACTAGTAATTTTAAATGAAGCTTGAATTGTGAGTTTTTTGAAGTTTGGCTTTAATGGTAACATGAAGTTTGGCTTTAATGATGCAATTGGGATAGATGCAAAAGAAGAGAAACTTGTTGTCGCACTAATTGGTCCTTATATAAAAGGAGCGGCAGTTATAGGGTTATTGGTGATTAATGAAATGTGATATGCACGTGATAAAGGTGATGAAGACAGTAATGATACCTCGAAGTGTCTGTCACTTAAAACCAGTCTGGCCTTGTATAATTCTCGGAAATGAGTTTTTACCTGATTATGTAAATAATTTGGTAAATCATGTCTTGTTTTCGTTTTAGACTAGTAGTCCCCGTGTTTTAAGTTAAGCAACATCTAGGAAAGACGGCAGCACCACTGCAAGGTGACAAAAAATCTTAATGAATTGTCTAAAGCCCTTTGGAACCAGCCCATGCATTCATGTCAATTATGTGTAGTTTTGCATAATTGTATTGACATTATAATCGTTCTCTCTACTTTTTTTTACCTATTGTTTCAGGGTCCTGGTGCTTGGTCTTACATTTTTATTGGATTGTATGATGTACGGCTCATGGGTCTTTGTACCTCTTAATTTTCTAAGATTCAATTTTCTTTCTGCTGGTGGAGACTATTATGGGACTCACAAGTGGTACTGGTACTTCACTCAAGGATTTACAGTCATAATATTCTCTTTCTTACCATTTTCTGTTGCTGGAATCATGCAATCCAAACATTGGAAGCTTTCTGGCTTTATTGCATGGGTTTTAGGACTTTATAGTGTGCTAGGCCACAAAGAATTCAGGTACCTCTTCTATTATTTATACAATTAAATTGGTTCTTTGATCATTCATTCTGTTGACAACTAATACTCTTCTAATTTGACTTTGAGTTACAGGTTTGTTCTGCCCGTACTTCCTATAGCTTTGATGTTCTCTGGGCATTCCTTAGCTGCATTAAGAACATCGGTTTCTGCAAATGGTAAAGGAAAAGAATCATCGAATATCAATAGCAAATGCCCTGCAAAAATGCAGTTGGCCATCTTTTTCTTGCTCTCGACCAATCTTCCAATGGCCCTGTATATGAGTTTGGTTCATCAGGTACTCATTTTGCTTTCTGATAAACACAAGGGCTGGGTAGCTTTTATTGTTCTTTGGCATGTACTCAACTTTAAGCGCTGGACTCTACTACTATCTCGAATGTTTTCATTTAAGTTGTTTCACGGTCCCTATTCCTCTTCTATCTTTCCTTTTGGATAACACTTTTGAACGTGCCTAGACAGAGAGGAACTGAGGATGTTACATACTATCTATCCAAAGAAGTGCTTCACGGAAAAGTGACAAAGGTACTTTTTCTGATGCCTTGCCACGCTACACCTTACTACTCTATGGTTCACCGCAACCTTCCGATGAGATTCCTAGACTGCTCACCAAGGTTTGATCTTTAACTACTTGGAAAGAATTATTTTCTTTGTTGCCGCTCCTCATGCAAATGGTTTTGTAACTTATAGACTGTTGGAATTTTTGTTGACAGTGAAGAAAAAGGAAACCCAGATGAATCAGACCAATTCATGATGGATCCTGCTGGTTTTACGTCAGAACTTGCAAAGAATTGGTCTTTTCCTAGTCACATTGTATTATTTGATTCGGAAGAAAGACAGTTGAGGGATTTTCTGATCTCACATTCTTTCAGAGAGTTGCATGCTACAACTCATAATTTTACTGCTGCAGTGTTGCATTTTTGCCAAATAAAAAAGTTACTTCTTAAATTGCTTGCCATGCTAGCACTGAAACTTATATCTGGCCTATGATGACAGATAAATAGGTTTTTCCATGCTCACTTCAAAGTGGACCGCGATCTTCAAGCATCAGTTATTGTGTATGGTTTGACAGGCGACTGATTATTGGGAGCAGCCTCTCCATAAATGGGGGTAAGGCTAGCCGACATTCACCTCTCCCAGACCCTGCGTAAAGCGGGAGCCTTGTGCCCTAGGTACGACCTTTAACTATTATCACTCCAGCTGGAAGAAGTTATTGACTTTAGGTCTTGATGAATGGAGTGGATTGCCAGAGCTTGGGGTTATTGGAGACTCTGCTCGCCTCAGTAGATTCCAACTTCAGATCGTCAATTAGTATGTAACAATTTTTTCCATTCATTAACCCCGGATTTTATTAATTATTTTGTTTCCATTGTTTTTTCTGCGTTTTTGTTTGATATATCTACTTGACACTACATTTCATTTTGCCATCGAGTTGATGAAAGGACCTAATATGTTGAACACAGGTCCCTAAGAATTTGCTAGCAATTATATAAAGATGGATGTTCGGCCTTTTACAGATTATTGAACATATATTTGTCAGTTTCTACAGAGAAAAAAAGAACTGCAGATAGAAATTATGATATAGAAAGACAATGGTAAAAGAAAAAGACATTGACACAATTCCAACATCTTGAGCTTAAAAAGCTGTAACAATTCCCAAATGAGAAGAACACGTTCATACAATCTTCTTTTTCATCAGTATCAGTACTCCAAATGATGCCCTGTAATTTCAAAAGTTCTCTGGTGGTCCAGAATATTGTATGCTTTATGTTTTTTAACCGTTAGATCTTGGTTTTTGAATTTTGACCACACATCTAATGGTTATAAAAGCAGGTTGATGGATGTTGATGCACAAAATTAGTGAGACTTTGGAACAACGTAAAGTGTTAAGTTTGTGACCTTCGCACAGTAGCTCCGGTCATTAAGTGTAGGTGACTATGTCGAAAGATAAGAATGGAGAAGCAAACACAAGATGTACATGGTTCACCCTAAGTTGGTTATGTCCACGGGGTAGAACAATTCTCATTAATAGTGAAGAGTTGACACAATACATAGGTTCAAGTATAATCATCATAGTGAGTTCTAATAATGAGTTTAAGTATAATAATCGCATTAGGGATTAACTGTAGGAGAATGGTATCCTTTGATAGTTGATGAGAGTCTTCGGCTTCCATCCTCGAGTCATTTGGTTATATCTTTTGCAAGTGTTAGACTGATATTAGCGATGTGGTCTAAAAATGTCGAACAGTTGTGTTGTTGTAGTACATAAGCTTTTGTATTCCTATGCTAATTACTTGTCTCGGTTTTTTCCCTCTCTGTTTTGGTTAATGATTAATGAGAATTAACATAATTGCTGCTCATCCTTTCCATCTCTTTATTTGTTGTCACATTGTAGTTATGCTTTGAGATTATCCATTAGGTTGTTCAGCAGAAATGATTGTGTAAAAGCAGGAATGGTGAATTGATTTATAGTTACAAAAGTACAGGGCAAATATGCACATAGGTGCAGCAACACAATGATCTTTCTGATGGATGATATTTGTAATTGATCATCGAACACTAGTTCTTGTAGTATTGAAGATGATATTTCGTAAACGAAGTAGAGACCAAGAGCATATGGTTAATGGTCGTCGCCCATGTCTTGTACCGCTGATAGTCGGCTTCCATGTCCAGCTTGATTGTCCCCTTACTCGTCGTTAACACGATGAGATAACCTGTACCATTCTCACCGGCTTCTGAATCTTTATACAGCTCCGCATGCATGTCCAGTATGATACCTAAGACAACACAAAACAGCTCCACTGATTAGATTGTAGCGATAAAGTTGAGCTTGTTTATGGAATTTTTCATTTACTCGACGTACATTCCTTCTTTCTTTTCAACAGACCGAGCTTCCTCATTTGAACAAGAACCTGTGTAGTTGAATTAAGAATTGAAGGTTAAGCTCTAATTAATGCTTTAGTTGACAAAAATGGCAGAAAACATGTTTAACATGCAGACCTTGGCTTCATTGTTGATGATGACAGACACCCATCTAACCGTGTACTTCCCTGAAAGCACATAATTTGCAATTTCAATTAGCGCCCAGATGAGTAAAACAACATAGAAAATCAGGAATTCGAAACCGAGAGTCGGAGAATCAGGATTGCTGTAAAATTACAAATTTCAATTGCTGAAAAGATCACTTTCAGTATTTGATCGACATGTCATCAATGTTTGATTACGTCGAGAACTAAATCGTTTCAGCAATTGGGTTTTAGAAACTCGTCGTTTTGGTCAGTTTCTTCAAAGAAATAGTTAAATTAATGAAGATCTAAAGTAGAAGTACAAACCGTCTGGTGTTTCAGTGGTGAGCTGGGCACCTGTTGCAAGCATTGATCTATACTTCTCAAAGTCGAAATCAACCTCCTCAGGGTTATCCTCGGCAGGCATCACAGGTGCAGTTCCATTTAGTCTTTTGTTGCAGCATCCTGTTCTTTCTTTCAATGTCGCTGCTCCCTTCAATGCTATATGTTTCATACACCACCAATGGAGAAATAAAGACCCAGAAAAACAGTTAGAGGAAAATACTGTAATCGTTAAAAATCTGGAGTATCATAGACTCAGAGCATCATAGAAAATCCCTTATTATTCGTATTGGTTTGAATATTTAATTCCTTCATTGTTGGATTAGGTATGAATGGTTGAGATGTACTTTTTGTGTCCATCTTTAACCGTTCATATGTAGTACTGCCAGTCGTATATTTCTGACATTTGATGTATGTGGGGCCCACAATACACCGCTCTTCAGGATTCACACGTACGCATTAACCGTAGCAATGCCCAGATTACACAAGCCACCACATATAGCTCATTTATGTATTAAACCAAGTTAGGGAACAAAGATAAGGGATATAGGATATTTACATGTTGTAGCTGCCGCTGATAGAGTTAAGATGTCACTTGCACTTGTGCTATTCATGGCTGAACCTATTACACTGCTGAGTTGCTCCTTCCTTGCCCCCATTGCTTCTGCAACTTTTGCACACTGGGCCGCCACTAGAGCGGCTGCAGAAGCGACTGCAGCTTCCTTGGCAGTGCTTGACTCATCATTTTCTGATTTTTCAGCTGCAATAGCAGCAAGGGCAGCTGCTACACCCGCCATTGATATTGCTGCATGGACTTCAGCTCTTTGCAGCCTGTGCTCCTCTTTCCGCCTTCGCTTAATGTCTTTAAGCCATTTCTTGATCGACATATTCTTAAATGGCACCATCTTCCATGACATCTGCATAACAGAAGAATGTATGAGCAAAGTAATAGAGTGATACCTCCAATTTTTATAAACGTATAGAAAAATGCAGTATATTACAACATAGGAGCCAATTCTACGTACCCATTTCTTCCGTAAAAAGCCGTTGTAGTTCAATTCTGGATGCATGGCTTGTTGCGTCCATATAAACGACTAAAGAAAACAAAACTACAGTATGTTATCAACAAAATTGGTTTTAAGATATTCAATTAGCTGAGATGTATTTTATATGCATCGTATATATGTTTCACCTTCACGTCATTGTATTTCCAAGGTGGAGGCTTGAGATCTGCATCATCCATCTTGTGTAGCTTCTGAGAGAGTTATAAAATCAATCTTGTAAACTTTCTTATGGTCTGACAAAATCAAAAACTAAAAGTGCAACGAATTCGACCTACAGCGTAAGGACTCTTGTTGTGGCTCTCAAACTTCACAATTGGATCGTCAAGTAGAACCACGGATCGATCTTGTTGGTCTGGTTGAAAAGCTTGCACTGCAAAGTTGCACCATGCAAGGGAAAGAAAATCCATTGTCTCAGGATGCGACTCCGAAGGAGTTGGAGTAGTGAAATGTGAATCCATGCAACTCAGCAGCAAATGGGACCTAAAAGGGTACTTTGGAGATGGAGTTTAACAGAATATGAGATTGGAACTACTCGGTGTCAAATAAGCATATAAATAGACATGCAAAAATTACTGAGTACATCTTGTTCCCTCTCTCAACTCGCTTTGCACACCCAAAAGCTTCCACCAAAAGAAATTTGGACAGATGAAATATTACAGTTGGAAAGGTTGTTTAGATATGAATAATAATAAAATCTAGTTGCCAACAAAGGGACTATCTTGATGTCACAGGTTATCATAAAAGTAAAAATTGGTGTAGTTAAGTTAGCTAAAACAATGCGTTCTATTTATAATATTACAGGGGTCGGACATGATTGCCTAACTCTCTGTATTTCTTAAGCCAATGTACTCCTTTTGTGCACCCGAGTTTGAATTCATTTGGAGAAAAATAGGTTTCGATTAGGGCACCCAAACTTTTTTTTTTTTTTGGAATAAACGATATTATCTATACTAAGGGGGAGCTTAATCTCGCAATGGGTAAACAATAATTTCATCCAAATTCACCTTTTGTGAGAATCGAACTTAAGACATTTTACTTATAAGTGAAAAGAAATATCATTAGGCTGTAGTATTAAGTGACAGGGCATCCAAACATGTTATGAGAGAGAACACATGCTAACCACTGTAGAATCATAAAGAGAATCAATAGGGCCTTTCGTTTTGTACCTTTAAAAGAAAACCATGAATGGCTAAGCTGAAGGAAATTAGGCTTGATGGAGCTGGCCAGGACCACCACATCAAAGCCCCTAAAACTAAAACAGCCTAGAATTAGAAAAGGAAGAGAGAGGCACAACAACCCTCCAAGCATGCACTTGGTGGCTTGGGTCAGCTTTGACATGATTGATGTGAACATTTGATAAAAAGCAAGTAAACATTTAATCATTATTTCATTAGAATAAGGATGTGCTTGATTAACTAATGGGCAATGAACTTAACAAAGATTAGCTTTTTTAAGTTAAAAACTAAAAAGGGTTATCAAAGTTAGCTGAGTGACTTTAATGGATGTGGTTTAGGTTTGAGAAATGATTATGGGGTCACCTTAATCGATTTTTGTCGACGGGTACTCATGGACTTTTGAAGATTTGGTTAAAGCTGTGCTCATTAGGCTCATGTGACAACCAAATACTCATTGGGCTTAGATGCTTAATTATTACATCTGTTTTTAATGGGGGATTATAATTCGATTCCAATGCGAGTCCAGGGACAATGCACTGCTTCTTGATTAGTTGAAAGGAAGTGATTTCTACGTAGCTATACAAAATTGCTTCTAGATTAAATAAATGAAAGTAAAATTAAGGAATAAAAATTACCAAGGATACGGAGAAGGAGAAAATGGTGTCAAAAATTCATTTCCTTAGTGTTTATTTTTATTTTAATTTTTTTTAATTTTTTTAATTTTTTTAATTTTAATTTTTTTTTTATCAAGATCATTTCCTTAGTTTAGTTTAATATGAGGATACCAATTACCAGTTTGATATTTCTGACAAAAAAAAAAAAAAAAAAAAAAAAAAAACCAGTTTGATATATATAGAAGGCAAGGTAATAGATATCAAGAAAAATTTAAAAAGGAATGGAAAATTTTAGCATTAGATTTGGATGCTTAGGCTGAGTTTAATTCTTGTATATAGAAATCGTCAATCACGCGCCTTTAGTTTTAACTAGCAGGAATTCCCGCGTTTCGCTGCGGGTTTTCAAATCATGAATAATATTCATAGAAAAATTAACTGAAAATGCTACAGCAATATAATTGCATTCTTAAATGCAACAATTTTGAGAACACATGTTTTACATGAGTAACGCTCCCAAAATCACACATTTACACAATTATCTCCAAATGAAAGAAAAAGCAAGAGATGGATGAATTGATCCATAAAATAAGTAGTTTAATTTACATTGCTACTCTATTAAGTCGATATCAAATAGAAGCTTCACAGCACAATACTTAACAACATTCCTCTGCTTTTCTAAGTGCAAATAGAAAAACGGAATCAAAGTACTCAACCCAAAATCTTCACATTAGCTCAAAAACTATATTGTTTCCAGAGCTTTCCAATTTCGCAGCATGGAACGACAAACATAAAAGCATTAAAATAGCTCTAAATTACAACAATAGGATGAACTACAAAATGATAGAGGAAAGATTAAGAGCCTACCCTTGCAAAATCAAATGAAAGATGCAAGACTTGTGTTAACAGTTATGTGATGTGTGCATTTGCAGACATCAAGATTTTACATGTGCAAGAAAGGGAATCACTCCATTAAAAAGATAGGAACTACTGATATTGCAGGTACATCAACCAGACCACTAATTTTAAATGACAGCATATGCTCGAGTAACCGAAAGACTAAAAGACGAAAAGAAGAGGGTTATATACCCGTTTCAATGTCATTGTCAAGGTCCTCTTAAACCTGGTTCCAGAATGACGATAGTCCAACACTCTCATAGTAACTAATACTTATTGTGACCTTCACCCAGTTTGTGAATTAGAAGCTTGAAATACACCAAAAATTCTCCATTCCCTTAATTTTAACTACTAACAGCGTAAAGAATTGGAAATTACAATTAAGACCAACGTTTTCCCCCTTTTTTTCATTGCCATAAAAGGCAGAAAAAAAAGGATTCTAAAACTCAAACCAACCGTCTCATTTCTTCCCAAAAATAAACACATTTGAATCCAATATTCATAAATGCATGGTCAAACAGGGGAAAAAATTATGTTAATTTGGGTTTCAAATTTACAGACAGAACTGTTTACAATAAGCATATATAACATGATTTGGTCTGCAGTGCTTTCATCAATAGTTATAAAAAAAAATAAAAAATAAAAAATAAAAATAAAAATAAAGATTCTAAAGATATGCATGCAATAGAATGACTATTACCTCCAAGTAAGCAGTTGTATGGTTGCAATCTAAGTTGCACACATCATGTTCAAACTGATAGCTTCAGTATAGCACTTGACAACATTATTTCAGGCTTTTCCTTAAATGAAGTATTTCCCTGGGAAAAGATTAGGAAACATAGAAATTGAAACAATACACATTAGTACATTGGTATCCCGGTTCCTTGCTAATAGAAAATGAAATTAAGGGGATGGAGAGATCTAATTTCAATTTTTTGAAGGAGAACACCATACTGAATTCATATCAAAGAATAGCATGATTCCAATTTCAATTTTGAACATAATAAAACATATAGCATTCATATATTACTTAAACTTCTTTCAAATTTACTTTTGTATTTAAAGATCGTATATTTTAATGAGTTTAAATTGACTTTATATATAAATTATAGGTTTTTATATTTAAATAATAATGTACATTGTATAATTACAGTTATAGTCCATGAATACAATTAGAGGCCTTTGAATTTCTTTGCAAGAGAAGATTTATAAGGAAAAGCAACTGCAAATATACAGACGGAGGGAATTTGAGGTTTGTAGTCCATCTACTCATAAATTTTTTACTATAGATACAACTGAGTAGTGAGAGAGCTTTAGCTAATACTATTCCATTCCACAGGTAATTATAAAAAAATAATCATATAATTTCTCACAATAAAAATCAATGTGACTAAAAACAAATGATATATATTAACTTTGATGATTTCTCTTATTTTCCCTCTCCTTCTCAGCAACCAAACAGGGGCAAAAATTACCAAAAAATGAAAAGATTGAAGTACCTGAGCAAGTTGGAATGCCTGGGTTGCCATATACACTTGGTGTAAAAATATCAGGGTGGGCATTTTCAGAGCACCAAAATCCTTGATCCACAAACGTATGTAAAAAAATCAACAAAATAACATTGTGATTTGCATTAATCCGTAGAAACAAATATGCTAAAATCGAACCTCTTTATCAGAAAGTAAAGACACGATCCAAAAATCCGTTAACATAAAAAAGATGTCAATGTCCATTAGCAGCAAGTGTCTCACCTGAAAGACAAATCTCTCTTTCATTCCTTGAACTGATAGAAGACCTTTCATACGATATATGTCCTCACTTCGTTCAAACAACAGTGTATCAAGCCATATGATAGCCTGAAAAAATAAAAACGAAATCAGTAGTCTTTGTCAGGTTTTCTTTCATACATGCCTACAAAGACTCTGGATGCAACTGGCCCTCAAATGTGTACTTGTCTCATTCAAAGGCAACAGGTCCACATGGAAGACACATAATAAATTATCAAATATATTGCGAAATAAGACAAAACAGAGATCCTACCTTTTCAAGATCTAAGTTCCCTTCACAAACTATGCTGACAGAAGAAACACTAGGATCATGAACATGATCATGGGTGTGGTGATCCTCATGATGGTCTGCATATCAGTTTCAAATGTGTGAATATTAGTTCATTTAAAAATAGTAGCAATGTCAAATTACAATTATAGTGGAAGATCATAACTCTTAAAGCAAATCAAAATATTATCCAATCAAAAACCAAACTAAAGAAAAATTATGAGTAACCGTGACAAAAAGCAAATAAATAAAAACCTAATTATCCCCAACTTCGAATATGTAGTTATCTATTATCCATTCCAAGAAATGTGAAATGCAAAACAGAAAACATAAGATAACTGGAGTAGGAGGGGAAAGATTGAGCTGCTGAGCGTAGGTAGTACAATAAAATCTTATCCTTTACACATCGGTAATTAGTACCTTTCCTACAGAAATAAATTCAACAACAAATGGTAAATAAATCAACAAAATAATATTGTGATTGCATTAATCCGAAAGAAAAAAATATGCTAAAATTCATAGTTGGGGTGCAAAGAACTTAATTTTCAGCAATCCAGAGTCACAGATCCGAGGCATTCAAGCACACAACAGAGAAGAGAGTATATTTTTTGAGGCACAAACTGAGTCTTTACCTTTGCTTCTTGTGGATCTCGGGACTGGATCAATGTTTTGCTCTGAAACTGGAGGATCGAACATGGATCTGTGAGTTTGAGCGAAATATCATCCATGGGTTGACGATCCTAGAGCCCTAGCATGGAAATATCATCCTTGGGTTGTTGGGATCTAGACTGCAATGAACATGAGCTACGCAACCATAAAAATCAACCTTTCAATTAATTTAAAAAAAAAAACTCAAATCATGCTTCTACAGAGCAAAAACACAAAATTTATAAATTCCAAAAAACGAACATTCGTTATCAAACTTATGGAAACACGATAGGGTTTGGGAAAGAACGAATCTCACTATCAAATTTCTGTAATGTTAGGGTTTGGGTCGGAGCTAGGATTACCTGATAATGCCAAAGTCTTCGCCGGGAGGGAGGCGGATGGAATCGGGGTGGAGCCGCTAAAATGGAGGCCATGGTTGAGATAAATTGGATAAGGGACGGCTAGGGTTGAGAGAAATTGAGTGGCTAGGGTTTTCTTTTAGAAAAGATGAAGAAGAATGGGGGTGAGCGGCGCTGGAGCTAGAGGTTGGAGAAATGAAGAGAGAAAAAGAAGAAGTCGAAGGCAATGAACTCTACGGACAAAATTACCCTCTTCTAAGTTCTAATAATTACCCTTCCAATATAGCCCAAATCTGATGGGTTTCTTGTAAATAAGGTAAAATCAAGAGGTAAGCCGTCTTAAACCTTGCTGACAAAATTACCCTTCTAAGTTCTAATAATTACCCTTCAAACCCATCCCAAATCTGATGGGTTTCTTGTAAATAAGATGAAATCAAGGGACAAAAAGTTGACTGTAGCTAAGCTACAGTCAAATCCTTCCTCAATTTTAGAATAGACTAGAAAATGTGCCCGCACGTTGCTGCGGGACTTGAGTGCATTACCTTGAACTGCATGAATAAGATACATTTTACCTGAATAAATTCAACACAATCATAAATAAAGAAAGGGATAGATGAGTGAATGAGGTCAATAAGATATGCAGCTTCGTTTTTATATACATTCAATTGAGCTGACATGAAAAGACATTGTACAATGAACAGAACGAAACTGAACGTTTTGGTTCCCTAATTAACAGAAGTAACATACAGTTCACACAAATCTTGCCGCAAAATATATATCCTGTAGGTTAGGCACATGTTTGAGCAGTTGACAAAAAACACAAAAACTGTTTCGTTCTTATTCTAGCATCTAAGTTTTCAAGCACAAACGTGCAAAGCAAAAAACATGCAGGACGCCTATTTCCATAAGAAACATAAGTAACATGGGGTCCACACATATTTTGCCTTGCAGTTAAGATGGTGTTTTGTTCTTGTTCAAGCAGCTAAGTCTTGAAGCAAAAATGCTGAAAGCCAAAAACATGTAGAACGCCCTGCAGTAGTCATTCTTGTTCAAGCAGCTAAGTCTTCCGCACTATAGCAAAGAATATAAATCATAGTTTAAAAGAATATCTCAAGATGGTCCTGTTTAGAATCACAATTTACTCCCTCCCAATTTCCACCTAACTTTGAACAAACAATATTGATAAATCTTTATCGTCACCCTTAACAAAACAGATCACAGCGAAAAGAAAAAAAAAATTCCTATGCAAACAAATTCTTCTGGATGTCCAACTTAACCCATCTATGGGAAGGCAAGCATCGGACGTGCATTCAGACCAAGGAAAATAAATTATACAACTAAAAACATCAACCGATTCCTCCTGAAGAGAACACACACATACCAACATATTATTCACCAGATTCGAAGCTTTCATTTTCGTTATATCCCTTTCGTTATCTAAACTTATAATTATTAAAACAGCAATAGAATCATAGAGCAACCTTCAATCATTTATCAAAACTGAATTAATTAAACTTCTGCTCAGCAGTTTATTAATTTTAATTGCAACTCTCGTTCTAAAAATTAAAAATTTTGCATTTGAATAATCAAACGCACTTACACATTACATTTCTTTTATTGGTTCTTGACACAACACATTTTAGGATTGATGTTACAATAATATCACTGCAAACATGAATTGCGATAGATATAGAAACCAAACTTGCACACAAATGTTCGACTGAATTGAGAACCACTTAATTCAACATAAAAAATTACCTCACATGCTTGCTCCCCTTCTGCTCTCGCATCGTTGGCTGTGCTTCTAAACGGTTAATGAAGTCCTAAATACAGAACAACAAAAAAAGTTTACCAATCCAACATTTCAACATATGGTTTTGGCAGGTATAACATTTCAACATAAGCATGATATAGAAAGACAGAAATCCACGTCACTTTGTTTTTTCAGAACCAACAAAAAGGGCAACTATAAGAGAATGTAACCAATTTTAAACAGTAAATCAGTCTCTCGATAAAGGAGAACATAAGCATGACATACAAAGATCGAAAGGCAAATTTAATTTGGTTTCCTCAAAAGCAACGAAAATGAGGCTAAATCAGATCAAATTAAACAAAGTGAAAACCGGATAGACAAAGATTAGAAATTTGCTGCATCTCTATCATATCCTATGTTTCCTTTACAAAATAAACAAGCATGAATACAAAGCACATGAAAATCAGCAAACCAAAAAAAACAAAGATAAACGCACAAATTTCCAAAAAAAGCAAAGAAATTGAAATTGTGTCATGAAAACTAACTAACGAATCATATTGAGACATCTTTGCTTGGTGCTTGGCAATGCTCTAACCCATTATGGGGTTTTAAATTATTCTATCCAGGTACAATGATGGGGATGCACTGCCAGCTGATGACCAATCATTTATGCTTGATAATGTTCTCAATTAACATCCGGATAAAGCTGTTAAAATGCGTTCTGGAATCGGTCATCTAACAGTATGCTTATCTACCCTATTCTTGCTTAACTGCGTTTTATTTAGAATTATGTTTCAACGCACTTTTGATGCATTATGCTTGGAATCTGTGACTGATTTTATTGTTATATTGGTTATTGTAATGTTCATTTCATTGTAGGGCAGACATGAAACATTAAAATAGTAATGAAGCTCAAAATATTCGCTAAACACCAAAACCCACAGCATATGCCCTCTACCCAACAAAGATAAATTAAAAACTACAATACAATGCTGAAAAGCTAAAGTAGCCAGAAACCAAAAGATCTTAGGGACAACTTGCACGAACGTTACAAAAATGTAGGACTCAATACACATTAAAACGTCTAGAAACTCGAAGTTATCGCTATTTGGTTATGAAGATAGATATATATCACCAGGAAACTAAAAAATGGCAAGGATTTGCCAAAATTTGTAAATCAAACACAGATGCATCAACTCCTTTTCCTCTGTTAGTCTGTTATCATCTCACACGCCACACTATTCGAGACTGGATCAATTCGATCACAGCCAAACTGCCAGTATTAAACTTAAGTAAGTACCGATCAAATGATCTAAACAATGTGTATTACAGATCCAAATCAATAGTGGTAATAAATAAGATAATTTCAGCTGCCATTTGCAATTAAAATTGAATAATGCTTACTCCCAAGGAATAGCTGACATTGATTGCAGCAATCAAATGTGCGTTTAATTGAATTAGCTATGTATTTGAGGATTTGGGAAAGGTATTTTGAGAGTAAAAAGACGTTAATTATTAGCTATGTATTTGCTTAACAAACAGTAGCTGAAATTGCTATGTATTTTTCAATGGGGAATTTAAAAACCAATCCCAATTTGTCATTGCTCAAACAAATTGGAATTTCAGAACCAATCTCAATGATCAAATTAACAAATTATTTCTTAAGCTAATTTAGAAAGGCAAATTGCAAGATTTTGAAGGAATTTGAAAAATGAGGGAGAAAAAACCAAATTAGAAGGTCGTGCCTTATCTCCCTCACAAAATCAATCGCACAAAAACCATAGCTTTTGATGGAATTTCAAAACCAAACAAATCTCAAAGATGAAGTTGTCATGTAAACATGTCTAACACAGATTTCTCAATTATTAACACTACTCTTTCTCAATTATTAAAAATATAAAGATCAAAGTCAATTGGGTGTATAATTATATAACTCATCATGTCAAGCAAAGCTACCAACTTCTGCCTCCAACGACCCAAAATTCTGAAAATTCCAAAAAATTTAATTTAAAAAAAAACAACATAAGAAAGATAAAACCCGGCATAAGAGAAATCTACAAACCGGATGGCAGATCATCAAAAGATTAAAAACCACTCAGAATCTATTTAGCATTTGAGTCTAAATATGAGAAATTGTGAACTTTGTTCCATAGGATAGTTAAAAGGATACTATCATATCAAAACCAATGCTGAATAAAATCGAGCAATGAGATTGCGATGATATAACGTCATTTCTTTAAACTGCATATACTAACCTAAAAATGAAAATATGGGAAGAATAGACTGCCTCCATTGGCACTCCAAGTCTCCTAACCACCAAACCACCCGCCTAGATGCATTTGCCTGTTCTTTCCCACAATTCTTAGAGATCAAATAGAACCCTCGAATTGACTGGGGACAATATGGAAATCCTTTTTGAAACCGTAATATAGGAAGACATGAATAATTTTGATAGAAAGACACACAAATTGTTGAGGGAGGATGTAAAGGTTCTGCATGGAAGGTTTCTACTCTTGTACATCTAAAAAAAATTAAATGAAGCAAGAGAAATTCAACAAAAAAACTTGATAACCCTTGCCCAAAAAAACTCACTAAATTCATAGCATCTACACTGAGTCACTAACATACATCAGTTAGGACTCTGTTATACTCATCATCCTTGATCAATGTAATCATATATTTCATAGGTACACTTGCCATTGACATACACTAACATAGCATCTACTTTTTCGCTGACTTTATTTGCTTAGTTAAGCAATAGCCAACATACACAATCTGACAATCATAGCAGCTACATCAATCATCCATAAATGGGCAGAAATACAAATACTATTATATTGGGATTTGGAACAAATAAACCAATCATCCAATTCGAATGTCGTTTGGAACAAATACACCAACCATTCAATTGAAATGGCATTTGGTATAAATACATTTTTCCATTAATTGGATATTCAATTAACTGGGATTAAAAAAAGATTACCAAACAAAAGCCAATTTTCTAAAGAAAATTAGTGTTTTATACCTGCCAATTCCAAAGGCCTGTATGAGCCCAAAATTGAGGGATGGTGACATCTCCAATTTGGAGTTGGGGATCTGCATTTCCTGCAATTCCATAGTGTACAACAGCTTTCACCTTAAATAGGGTTTGTAGTAATTGAGTTGAGATGCCTGCATTGAGCTTTTCACAGGTTTCTACATCAATTTTTTTCCAGCAGGTTTCTACAGAAAATACTTCAATAATATTGAATGATACGGGAAATAAACGGTTAAGATTTACACTAAAAGATTTAATAATTGTCGAATCTAACGGATAATACACTTGTAGTATTGAAGCCAGACACTGTTTCTACATCATTTATTAAATACATTATCTATGATATGCACTGACCAACGAAATTAATCAAAGTAAAACAGATGGCCATCTGCATAATTAAACATACCATGCTCAATCCAGTCATAACAATTATAACCTTTTTGTCTTCCAATTGTCCGATTCGAAACCTTTTTGTCTTACAGAGTGAGAAAAAAATTCTTGGGATTTTTAATGTGTCATTTGAGTAGCTAAAAGAGGACTACAACAGTCAAATATAGTGAAAGAATAATTAAGGGCAAGCTGATTGTATGATTAAAGAAATCTCAAAGCTTCCATAAAAAAATCAAAGCGAAAACCAGAGAAGCGTGAGGATAGGAAGATATTGATACCTCATTGGACGTTGGGGGTAGCCCAAGTTGACTGAAATCGACAAAACCTTGCTCGACCTCTCTTTCTCTGTCCACATGAGAAAACAACATCACCCAAAAGGTCAGAGATTTGCAAAACCAAAAGGAAATTAAGAGAGAGAAACGGAGGAGAGAGAGAGAGATCGGAGTACCGTTAATCCCTGAAGATCTCTTCCGCCCGCCGACTTGAGCCCATCTCTCTGCTCTTCTCCTTCATCTCACCGAAGCTCTCGAGTTACAGAAATGAAGCCGAGTTTGTGTGGTTTTGGTTTTAGGAAGCAGGAGTCGATGCTATTCCAGAGATGGTGTTGTGGCTGCTAGGGTTTCAGAAAGGGGAAATGAAGCCAGAAAGTTGGTTGAAGGCACTCTAACCCATCCCCTCCCCTCACCAAATCCCACCACACACAGCCGTCGATCCCACGAATGCAACCCAATGTAATGGTCAGCCCAACACGTGTATAGCAGGGCACCCAAATCTCACGCACAAAATTACCCTCCTATCTTTTCATAATTACCCTCCAACCCAGCCCCAAATCAGATGGCTTTCTTGTAAATAAGGTGAAATCAAAGGGCATTTTCTTGACTGTAAATCCAGGCACAATGAACAGTAAAGAACAGTGCCAATTGCAATGCTTTCTTTAGACTAAAGTAATAATAGTAGTGTGAGTTTGATAGCGGTGAGTTTTATCTATTAGTTGTATACCCATTTAATTTCCTCTATACCATTGGTTATTGTCTTCTCTTTCTAAAAAAAATTGACGATTTATTGTATAGATATTTAACTCGTGAATTTCATATTGAATTTAAGAATTGGAATCACTCATGATTTTTCAACCTAATTGAAGTTTGAATTGACACACCCCGACCCGGAATGTCCACTAGGACTCCGAATCGAGCTATGCTGGCCGACACCTGGAAGGTGACGAAGCCATAAAGTGTGATAATATATAAAATGTGAATAAATTAAAATCTAAAAGTGCCTAAGTACACGAGTGCGCGGTGAGCGGATCTGGACCAATTTTACGCGCAATACAGAGCATAGGTATAGTACAGTAAGGTGAGATAATGATTATACCATCATAAAAGACATCTATGCTGAAAAGTGCCACGAATCTTTGTCGATACAGAACTCTGCTGCTAGAACCTGGAGGGGTACAAAAATAGAAAATGTGAGTGAGTGAAATAAAACTCTTCAAACCAATTCCAACTACCAAAGATAGTAGCCCTTCGTCGTAATACTTGTTTAATTTCCTAGAAAATAATAGGCGTGACTATAAATCAAAACCATAACCAAAATAATAGTCTACGGTTATGCTACGTCAAATTTCTTAACATGAATGAGTAACCCAGGTGAAATAAACCAATAGGAAATGACATGTTAGCCGGATCCACCTATCATGTACGGTTGAATCAATATCTTATCTCATATATGCTAGCATCCCATCACATATCTTATTATAAATAAATGCTAGCATCTCATCATATATCATCACATATATGCTAGCATCTCATCATATATCTCATCATAAATATATGCTAGCATCTCATCATATATGCTAGCTCGTAACATATCTCATCATATATGCTAGCATCTCATTACACATCTTATCACATATATGCTAACATCTCATTACATATATCATCACATATATGCTAGCATCTTATCACATATCTCATCATAAATATATGCTAGCATCTCAGTATTAGCTCGTAACATATCTCATCATATATGCTAGCATCTCATTACATATCTCATCACATATATGCTAGCATCTCATTACATATATGCTAGCATCTCATCACATATTTCATCACATATGCTAGCTCATCACATATCTCATCATATATGCTAACTCATAAGTCGGAGTCACCTCTAGTGACTTGTATGACTTATCCATAGCTCAATAAGTATACCTGCACACGAGTCGGAACCATCTAAAATGGTTTGTACGACAGGACTGGGTGTAAATAAATACGCTCAAGTGCTATGATCACGTGAAGACTATGCGAATAATCATGGGTCACCTATGAGTCGGAACCACCTATAGTGGTCAGTACGACAGGACTGAGTGTAAATAAATACGCTCAAGTGCTACGATCACGTGAAGACTGTGCGAATAATCGCAGGTCACCTATGAGTCGGAACCACCTATAGTGGTCTGTATGATAGGACTGTGCACCTACCTTGGATCCAAGGTGAGCGTAAGGTGTGGGAGGTGAACATCACGTGAAGGACTGTGCCCTGGCCACGAGTGGGAACACTAACACCGGGGTTCAGGTTTATGAGCTCTATATACATCTCATCACACTAACACCGGGGTGCAGGTTTATGAGCCCAACTAAACACTAGCTTAATTAACTATCATTACTAACTATTTTTCACTTCAACGTTACGATTCTTCACACATTGATTTTATAATCAACATTTAACCACTAAAACATATGGTTTAATCTCACATTTTCCACCAATCTCCTTCACATTGCTCAATTCCCCAAACAAGGTTATTGTCTCAATTATTTAGTCTCATTTGTTGTATGGCTACATCTAACGTCTCGTTAGACTGCCTATGTACCCTAAATAGGGATCAAGCCAATCATAGTTCACAATAATTACTTCAAAACATTCACAGTAATTGTAAGCAATAATCGATTTATAAACGTTTATGAAATTATCAATCATATATACATATACATATACATATACATATATACATACGATAGAAAGGAAAAGACTCACTCACCTGGAGTCCACGCTATGATTCTCTAGAACGCACATCAAGGCTTCCCGAACAATTGGCTCATGTGACCAATTATAGAATCACATTTCAGAACTCTTATCAATAGAATACGTAATTCACATAAAGCACATCCTCAAGGACGTTCTAAAATAGTTTGAGACCCATTGACCACAAGTCAACTGTCGATCGAAGATCGACGGTTGGGTCAAGAACCCTGCAAAACTCGATCAAGAAGATCCACATCTCAGATTTCTAATCCGCAACCTTTAAAGATGCACATTATACTTCTAGAATAACATACTAAAATTTCATTACGATCCAACGGTTGGATCTCTGCCAATTGCCCAAAATCAAGTGGCGGTTAACATTTATTTTACGAACTTACAAATCCAATTCGGGAAGATCCGTACTTCGGATTCCCGATCCGTAAATTCCTATGATCCTTAAATATTACATATTATAATGTATCCAAGTTTGGTGACAATCCAGCAGTAGGACCGTCGATTTATATTTTGGCCAAACCAAGTATCGTAACAAAATTTGATTCAAACGATCAACCTATGACATTCGGATATCAAAAATGAATTCAGGGCATTTAATTTAGCTTAAAAGTAGCATCAACGGTCTCCTGGCCATGCGTTGCCGCGGGTGGCAGTCGGCCGCCCCGACTCGTCGAAAAATACAACTATTTCCAAAAATTACCAAAATTTACAGGAACGAAGATCTCAATGAGTAGAGTAACTTTCATACCTGTGACCAAGGCCAATTTGGCCGGTAAGAGCTTAAATTGTGCATAAATCCATCGGAAACCCTAAAGATGGGTGTTCTTGAATTGTCACCTCCGGCGCTCCGCCGCTCCTACCATTGGTTGGGCTTTGCTCCAGACCTCAAGGGGAGTTTAGTGGTGGTGGTAATTGTAGGGAAACGTTTCAAATTTGAGTGATTCGAACACAAAACCGTCGTACCCCACTGTGCAGGTTCACCCATTTTCAAGGCCAAAACCCTTGATTTTTGAGATGTAATAGGAAGAGGGAAGGTCATGGGGAGGTTTCCAATTGGTTGCTTGAAGAAATTTACCAGGAAAAGCCGTCGGAGAGATGAATTTGGGTCGCCGAAGTCCACGGGTCGCACGGACCCGGTTCCTTTTCCTTTCTCTTCTTCTCTCCTTTCCCTCTTTTCTTTTCCCTCCCATTGGTCCTTCACTTCTCTCCTCTTCCTGATTGGGCAGCAGCCCTTTCCTTCTCCTCCTTTCTTCTTCTCCCCCGTTCCTTTTCTTTTACTTCCCCCTTTCCGTCACACACACATACACACACACACTTGTCCTCCTAATTTAGCATACATTAATATAATATAAATAGAATAGTTATTTATTCCAAATACTTTCGGTTCGTAATTTCAAATTCACTTCTGCTGGCGCTTACTCGTTCATATCGTCGAGTACTTTAGGAATACGCTAAAAGAATATTTAGTATGTCTCACTATACGTTGGTCAACGAAGGTCAATACCCTCATTACAAAAATCATAATTTTTAAGAACGGGCTGTCACATGAATTCTATAAAATTAGAACCAAGCTCAAATTTTCGGGGTACTGTGGATGACCTTAGTCCCTTCTTGATTAGATTTAGGTGCAAATATCAACGTATCTACTTATACAAATGGTCATACTTTAATTTACTTGAAGCAGTCATTATAATCATTGAAAAGCAACCCACATAACCGTTTACCTATTGGGTAATTGTCTAAACCGTTATACTCATACCCATAATCTTTTTATAAATAGTTAACCATACACATAACCGCGTACTCATTTAACCGTAACCATATACCCGTTTACTCTTTTATCCTTTTTTTAACCCATTTACCCCCATTTTCACCTACTTACATGTTTTTTTTTTGAAATGTAACTGTATACAACTCCAATAATTGAAATAGTAATTTATGAAAGATATTTTTAATTGTTATCAATCAAGGTAATATAATATATTTGCTAAGAATTGATTTGTTACTAACAAAATACCTCTCATTACTTAAGCAAGCATATTGGAAAGAAAATTAATGTATTTTCGATATTTTTTTCTTCTATACCCAAGCAATTCTTCAATTATAGCACGTTAAAACTTAATTTGTAAGAGAATAGCACGTTAAAACCTCAAACCGAAATACCCAGCAGTACTGTAGATGAATTTATTAGTATCATGACTCTAATGCAATTTATGATGATACTGGTGACAAATCATCACCAATTCTGATAAAAAAACTTATGTAGGCTAATGTGGTGATGATAAAAAATCAATTCTGATCAAAAGCTTAGGTGTTTTTAATTTATTTTATTTTAATTATATATGAATGTTCTTAAGTCATAAGATTGTCGACTGAGAGTCTGAGATCAATCCCGAATAATATTGGAAGTTGGTTGTTCTCAACAACACCCAAGCGCTGAACTAACAAATCTAAAAAAAAAAAGGGACGTTTTGAAATAGGTATCTCAATTTTAAAATTTTAAATTAAACATCCATACCTTTTAGAGATTTGATTAAACTCTTCTTCTCATAATTTTGGTGCCACATGTATTAGAATTAATATTTTTTTGCACCAAAATTG